GAAACAAGCACTACGGTTGGAGGCTCAAAATGGCGGAAAAGGGCGATATGAACAATAATTTATCGATAAACTGCAAGCTGCTTCGCCGTCGCATTCAGCCTTCCTTAAGACGACGGTTTCATTGTCATATTTCAACTGTGATATGGCGGGGAAAAAGGGACGGGAGAAATTCGGACAACCGCAGGAACGCGAAAAAAAACCACTTGCACATGTGGATAATATAAATGCCTAGAATACTGTGACTATCATGTGTAACGAGGAAATGTAGGTGCTCTGATCCGAGCCTCCCCATCAATTTAAAGAAGACTAAGAGGACTGAAGTAGGCAGTCGACAGGGCAATATCTTTTCATCGTAGACAGCAAAGAAACCGCCGATTTGGGAGTATACCCCAGTTGCAGACGGTAATGGGAATCAGCAAGAGAGTAAGCAAACTCTGGAGGAGGGGTAAAAAAAAGTCGGGCACAACATAAAGCCCTTCATACACAGGGTGTGCATTCTGAACATGTCGCACTATGGTTTGGAGACGTCAGCGCCTCTAAGCAGCGGGCAACATGACAGAAAGCCTAGGAAACGAAGATTCAGTTCGGAAAGACATCAGCAGTCTCTTAATGATGACACATAAAGAAAGGGACGGTTAGAGACCATTTCTTTTATCTCTGACTACGATATCCTGTCTGTGCATTATATATTTGCACTGAAGAAAGAACATCGTCATGCATTCAGAAAGCTTCGCTTATTATAAATATGTTTCTCCAGGCTTACAACTATCCATTTCACTACGCAAATGAAAATTTTTATATAATCAACGTTAGGGTTAATTAAAATGGCATGATCTGGTGTCACTATTGTGGTAGGAGGGAAAACAGGTTATTAAATGAAAGATAGTGATTCGCCTGGAGGAGTTGTCGTAAACCGATCGACGGTAGCCGATTTGCGAACCGAATCCCACAGGCAAGCCTGATGGCAGACGGCCAACAGACCTCAATAACAAGGCAAGATATCCAGTAAGATTCGGAAGAAGTAAAAAGCAACAACTGCAAGAATGAGAAGAAAAAAGAAAGAGGAAGAAGACAAAAAATAACTTTAGATGTAGTGTATGAGATTACGGCGGGTGACCAGACCGGAGCCTTAGTCCGACATCTCTCGACAGTGTGAGACGGATGCTCACCCGGGCTGAACCACCGTCTTTCACCACACCAAGCCGACGACCGGACATCTACGGCCACATGTCAGCTGCGAACGTAATACGATATGTCATAGTTGGCGGCAAGGGCAACGGCAACGGCAGCGGCAGCGGCGGTGGCGGCTACTTTCAGCACACGCGGTAGAGGCTACTGGGTTGAGGGCGAGGATTGATTTTATGAC